TGCTATTGTTGCCATTGAGAACCCTGCTGATGTCAGCGTCATCTCCTCCAGGAACACCGGGCAGCGAGCTGTGCTGAAGTTTGCTGCCACCACTGGAGCCAGTCCGATTGCTGGCCGCTTCACCCCTGGGACCTTCACTAACCAGATCCAAGCAGCCTTCAGGGAGCCGCGGCTTCTAGTGGTGACTGATCCCAGAGCTGACCACCAGCCCCTCGCAGAGGCATCTTACGTCAACCTGCCCACCATTGCGCTGTGTAACACAGACTCTCCTCTGCGCTATGTGGACATTGCCATCCCATGTAACAATAAGGGAGCTCACTTAGTGGATCTGATGTGGTGGATGCTGGCCCAGGAAGTACTCCGCACGCGTGGCACTAACTCCCATGAGCACCCATGGGAAGTTATGCCTGATCTTTACTTCTGCAGAGACCCAGAGGAGATTGAGAAGGAGGAACAGGCCGCTGCTGAGAAGGCTGTGACCAAGGAGGAATTCCAGGGCGAATGGACTGCACCAGCTCCTGAGTTCAATGCTGCTCAGCCAGAGGTGGCAGACTGGTCCGAGGGTGTACAGGTGCCCTCTGTACCCATCCAGCAGTTCCTTACTGAAGCCTGGAGTGCCCAGCCAGCCACTGAGAACTGGTCTGCAGCTCCCACAGTGCAGGCCACCGAGTGGGTTGGAGCCACCACTGAGTGGTCCTGAGCTCCTCTGCAGACGCCTGAGCAAAGGGAAAAAAGGTGGAAGGAAAATAAAAGTTCCTACAAGCTGAAAAAAAAATAATAAAAAGCATGCAAGAATCTATCCTCAGATAAAAATGGAAACCTAGATATTCATAAATACAGACTAGAAAAATTAAAGATAATATGCAGCAGCACTTGTTAAAGTTTGTGGGATTCAGCTAAAGCAAGGTTAAAGGAATCTGTTTCATTACATATTACATATTAGAAAAGAAGAAGAACCTGCCCATGGTGGCTCATGCATGTAATCACTCAAGAGGCCGAAGGCAGGAGGATGACAGTTTGAGGCTAGCCTGGGCTGTGTGGAAATCAGTCTCTCTCTGTGTCTCTGTCTCTCTCTGTGTCTCTGTCTCTGTCTCTCTGTCTCTCTCTCTCTCAAAAAACAAACAAAAAAGCTATTTAGTCCAAGCTAGCTTGGAACTCTCTCACAATTCCCTGCTGGGATTGAAATTACAGGTGTGTTAGGATCACATTTCACTGTTCTCATTCCTAAGTGGGGTAGTCTTTTTGTTTTGAGACAGAATTTCATGAGCCCAGGCTGGCCTCAAGTTCACTATGCAGTTCAGAATGACCTTGAACTTCTGGTCCTCCTGCCTGTACCTCCCAAGTCTGGGTGTTACTGGTGAGTACCATCATGCTTTGTTTCTTTAAGTTCAGTCCTTTAAGGACACCAGAGGAGCACTCTGTCAACGGGCTTTCCTATTTTTGAATTTTAAGTTCTTTGTTCAGTTTCAGTTTCCAGGCCTTTTTCAGATAATGTGTTTTGGAGATGTTTCCTCCC